CGCAGCAAATTCACGTGTTTCTAGACAGCCAGCAGGCTGTAAGCGCACTAACGACGGGCTCATCCTCAACTAGCTTTGAAGATGTACGCAAATTCCATGCGTCATCCAATAAGGCAAAAATATCAGTGAAATGGGTGCCAGGGCACGCAGGGATACAAGGGAACGAAGAGGCAGACACCATTGCCCGTGCCACCCTTCGAGAGCTACCTAGCAAGGACACACCACCAGGATCATGTACTCTGGCATATCTTCGTGGTCTCATGAATCAACGGCGGCAAAAATTGCTGGAAGACTGGTGGATAGAGGCTTGTCCGCCTAAATACCGCCAACTCAACCTACAGGTTCGGCGACGCAAACCACCTGAACTAGCTCTCTCTAGGCACCTGCTCCGAGAATTAATTGCAGCCCGAACGGGTCACGGCAATTTTGCGGCATACAATCGCCGTTTTAATAACCTACACGCTCCTATGGAGTGCTCTTGCGGGAAGGAAACTACTCCAACCCACTTCATCCACTGTAGCCGCCACGCACAACACACGTGTAGGCTCAGAAAGTCAATGTCCCACGCTGACTTTGTCAAAAAGCCTCTCGGGCCCAAGTGCCACAAAAGCTTCAAAACATTTGCGCAGGAAACCGGCTGTTTTGATAGACGACCTGCTCACTCATCCACTGCTCTCAGCGGGGATCAGATTAACTAGTCATTGCCACAACACATGACAAGAAAGGGAACGAGGCGAGAAGTATCGTTTCTCTGAGGAAAGATTGTAGCGATTTGGATTTAGGGAAAAGGATTGATTTTTGATCTAGGAGTTGGAGTAGGTGGTGTCCGCGTCGTAATTTACTTCCTACTATTTCTGTAGCAAGTCCAGCGGTTGGAATGAGTTGGGCCTGTAAGCAGTGATCCCCGCCGGCTCCACCAGTCTTGTACCTGTAGTGGACCTAGAGCTTTAGCTTAGGACTTTAATATAATTAAAAAAAAAAAACACTTCATCAATAACTGCCATTAAGCATCACCTGACTTATCTCTGTACTCCATAATTTCAACGTAGCGGCAATTATACCAACAACAGACAACCAAGGGTTCACACTTGTGTCCCACCAAAAGCCAGAAGGCTTCAAGAGAAGACCAGGACGCCCGTGCAAATAGCCCCTGTTCAATCTACCACCACAAGTATTTGCACCATCGGGGTCAAACTCAAGACCACAGTCATAACTTTTCGGCACGCGAGGGCAAGAAAAGGATGGCGAGGCAAATCTAAATTTTAGCTAGTCCTGTCTCGGACCAAAGTCCAATTGCACTTCCTGTAAGTAACGAAGGACTACAGACAGAAAACTTAGTGGGGAGAGGGTATTTTTATCGGAATGGTTTCCCCCTTCATGTAAATATATAGATAGGTTCATAGCCGCCTGCATAAGCACGCAGGGCGCCAAATCGGGTTGAATGAATTCAAACTCAAATTCAAATTCAAGGCTTTGTAAAAAAATGATACTTTCTTTGACTAATTAACATGAATATACGATGAAATTAAGATAAATAGGCAAAAGAATAGCTCGTCCTCCTGGTTATTTTTCAGATAAAAAGGAAATAATATTTCTCAAATATAGTAAGAATTTTCCATGTACCTATAGTATAAGGAAATGGTTAAACTGTCCTTTACAGCTATTGATGGTGATACGAACAAAGATAGATTTTGATTGAGATGGATTTCTATATTTTATCATACATAATATGCCCAGGTTCATATACCTCGATAGCCAAGCTACCAGATTGTATTCCTCCAGATCTAAATTCATTAGAATAATTAATTACTAAGTAAAATTCTTCTAGTCTCAGTGGCATGCCTAGGAAGTTGACTAGGTTTCTAGTAACTAGTCAATGATATTTCTCCTATCGCTGAAACATATTAATGATGGTACAATAAGTACTAACATTGGATCATGTCCATACATGACGTTGAGATGTCGTCTTGATCGTTTGAACAATATCAAATTATGAATGAATCATGTCTCTATATGATAATACCTGCTAGCCTCCATCTAATTCTTCCCCGAAGGTCGTGCTGAAATGTCAGAAAAGTCTTGACATGGTGTGATTGCTATATTGTAGCCTAGCCTAACTTCTTTTGTACCGTTGACTCATAGACAATAGAAGTTCTCCTGAATGATTTTCCGAAACCTTATCCTTGGCGCCCACAAACATTGCAAAGTCAAAAATCCCACGAAAAACGCAAGTTCCGTCGAGCCCAATATAGATCCCTTCCCTCTATTAGTTCATACCCTAGCCGTCTTCATCTCTCAATAGGTAGGGCCTCATTAGAGTAATAGTCCCCCATAAGTCGGTTGCCAAACTTTGTATCAGATGACTTTTTTTTGGGCAGATTACAATTGCGTATGCAGCTATCTAGCTATGACACAATATCAAAGAAAAGTACAGAAAAGATGACTCAATTTACAAGAGGAGCACTCATGCCTCGGATTTCATCTGCAAGTACCACTGCGAAGTTATGGTGGCTTTTTCTTCATCCCAAGTCAACTCTCATCCGTGAATACCCACCCAGGGGAACGTCTCATAAACCCTGAGTTATCCAGACATGCCTCCATCATCCGTTCACATTTCTCCGCACGAAATATGGTCTTTGGTGTCTCCTTCCCAAGTGGAGTGGGTGCTCAGGTTACTCAAACCATACCAGAGAACACCAACAGTAGGCGGACCACGGCACCATCAATGGTTGGCTTGTCTTTATGGTTTCAGCTGCAGTCTCGCAATCGAAGACTTAGCGCGCACAATGCTCTTTAATTTGTAAAACTCCTGGCTAAATATCCTAGGTCTCACATTCGTCAAGATTGTATCCTTGCTTCGCATCATCTTGTGAGCTTGTCCTGATAACTCTCACGCACATCCCAAAGAACAGTCTCCAAGATTTGTGCGCAAAGGTATGTCTCCTCTACCAGATATGAATATCAGTGTGGGCGTATACTTATTAGTCAGCTGAGGCCAGAAAATTGTCGATGAGAGGTGTGTTCATTGGCATTAGGATATAATACGTCGTACTTGTAAACTTGATGAGGTTTTGGTGTCGATAAATCTTGTCGGGCGGGAAAAATTGATTTGGTGGAGAGTATTTAATCATTGCCTCGCGGGCCAACTTTGATTTTGTGAAATTTTATTGAACTTAGCTCTGGGAGAATATTTCACTCCTAGGTTCGTAGAAGGCACCGTGTACAGGTGTTCAGTCTTGCCCCCATATCTGGTGACATAATTCTCCTCCTAGCGGATATAACATGCATCGTAATTTGAAGTGGGAAATGGCTGATAATTGGTGGGGCAAGCTCTTGTTTACAATTGGAGAAACTCACTTGTTGGTTGTTGAGGCATGGTTACTTGTAGTAATATTGAGATTGAGCACTTTTGAGAGAATGATAAGTCCGATATTGATGATAGATCGTTGATTCTAGATATGCTCGTGCCTGCTTTCCACCTCGATTCGGGTGCAATCTTTCTTTGCTATCTCAGATATGCAGAGCATATTGGGCGATAATACCTGCACTACTTGAAGTTGAAGAATTTGTCTTTGCTGACTTCATAATTGATTGTTATTCTATTATGTTAAAGCTGTAGAATAGTTATCTATCTTACGTCCGGATAAAGCATTATCCGCAAGTAAGAATCTATAAGTCAAGAATAAGCCAACGCAATGCAACCATAGATTACAAGTAAATTTAGCTAGATAGATTATTCAGACATCAAATGTCAGAGATTCTTCCATCTACTTCTGTTTCCACCAAGAAACCTTGAAGTCCAGCTGTTGCTCTTATACCTGCAAATATTCGAACTATACTCCTTCTATTGATAACTGAGCATATATCCTCTCTAATCTTCTTCCAAATCTTGTTCCTCTCTTAACTGCGCCATCAGTAATTCAGCACAAGATGTGCGACTGTTTGTCGCTCCATATCCACATACACAATCGTCCCGTTCTTTATACACATATCTCATATTTGTCCTGACATATTTCACTTGTTGTGACTAACGCGATATTATGACTGAAAACTAAAAACAGTTCTCCCTGGAATAGTGTGCACTTGCGCTATGAGGTATGATTAACTCATATCATAAGTTACTGGCATTAATATTAATTACTCAATAGTTGCCAGACTGGATTTACTGGCCTAAGAATCTCTGTTATCCTTCTCATTAAGATCAAATAAGGAAGTGTGCTTGTGTTCATCCTAGTGAGCGGAATACCCCGCTTTTGTATGTAAGGGGACTTCTCGCTGCGTAGGTAGGTATAGGAGCTAGCAATTTGATTCCTACTAGCTATCCATCAATAAGTTTCATCGTCTAGTAAAAATGTTCAGTATGCCTCGAAATCAATTCCCCTGTGCCGAATACCCTTTTCACCAGATTCATGCTGCATTATATCTATCCTTCAGCGGGTATACACAATGTGACAAGCGTTTGTTCTGATGCCAGTTCAGGCCATAGACTAAGCCTAGAGAGATCCATTCATTGATATCGAGATGCACCAGGACGTTTTTGTAGACATGATGAGACTTTAATAAGAGTCTATCCTGTTATGAGTGAGTGAAAAACTTGGTTGGGAGTCTCATATAATTGCCTCGAGGTCCAACTTCTATATTATTGTAAAATTAGCTCCAGTAGGATATTTAACAACCAACTCCGTTATAAACAGAAGTAACTGGTGTTTAGTCAACATATTCTCAAAAAACGACTAATATGCCATGCTCATCAGCAACGAGTTCACCCGCTGCGGTTATTCATTGGGCTACATGTTTCTCCGACGCGATAGCCGCGCACTGTCAATTTTGTTGCAATTCGCAGAATTCAGCGAAAGAACATTTGTTAGAATCGTGTCCCAGATCCAGGTGTGAAATACTCGAAATCTTACGTTGCCACAGGGGCCAATTGACGCTTTGTTAACCCAACGAATATTTACCAGTAGTAATTCTTTCACTCAATCGTTACAACAAGAAACGTGATGGCTGTGAGAAGCTCAAGAAGATTTCCCATCCCAACTTGGAATATTCTAGCGCTCAGATACTAACCTTGCTTCATGATAGAGTTACTATATTGAAAATGCCCACCCAGGCGACCAAGATAAAACTGAAGATTGGCGAAGTGAGATTCATCCTACCACAACAATTCTCCGGAATAATATGGCTGACTCCAATCAGTCAGGGGCTACAATCCTCTTGTTTCGCCCGACTTGCTACAGCACGAAATAGCGCAAACGCCTGAGTCAAGAAAGACAGTCATCAATGGCCGAAAAGAGATCGTAGAAACGGTGAATGGCACAGATAAACAAGATCGCCTACTTGTTATCATTGGGCCATGCTCTATCCATGACCCTAAGGCTACTCTTGAATACTGCCACAGGCTCATCAAGCTCAAGAAGAGATATGCCGCTGACTTACTTATTGTGATGCGTGCTTACTTAGAGAAGCCACGCACAACGATCGGCTGGAAGGGACTCATTAATGACCCAGAAATTGATGGTAGCTTCAAGATAAATCAAGGCTTACGCATTGCAAGGAAATTATTCGTTGATTTGACCTCTGCGGGGATGCCACTTGCAAGTGAAATCCTTGATACGATTTCCCCACAATTTCTAGCGGATCTTTTATCTGTTGGTGCTATTGGTGCTCGAACAACTGAATCTCAGCTGCATCGTGAGCTTGCATCTGGTCTTTCATTCCCAGTTGGCTTCAAAAACGGCACCGACGGGACTCTGAGCGTAGCTATTGATGCAGTTGCGGCCGTTCGACATCCGCATCATTTTCTTTCAGTGACTAAACCAGGAGGTGTGGCAATTGTCGGAACAATCGGAAATGAAGACTGTTTCGTTGTTCTACGGGGTGGGACAAAGGGAACCAACTATGATGCTAAGAGCATTGCGGACGCCAAAGCTGCTTTAGAAAAGGCCAACATGCGTAAGAGGCTAATGGTTGACTGCAGCCATGGAAATTCTTTGAAAGACCATCGCAATCAGCCCAAGGTAGCAAGGGTGCTGGCAGATCAGATAGAAATGGGCGAGATGGGTATTATGGGTGTCATGATAGAGAGCAATCTAAATGAAGGTTCGCATTTTTTGCCTGAAACAGATTCTAGACTTACAATGATCTTAGGTAACCAAAAAGTACCCGAAGAAGGCGCATCTCATCTCAAGTATGGAGTAAGCATTACAGACGCATGTATTAACTGGGAAGATACCGAGATTGTCCTCGAGATGCTTGCCACAGCTGTCGCTAAACGCCGAATATTGGTAGCTAGTCGAACTGAGTCTAGTAAATGATTAGCTATTCTATCTTGAGCCTTCCATGAAAATTCTATCTAAATCATACAATGATAAATGTAATGAAACTTTAAAGAAAAGCTGCGCATGTCTGATTTATTATCTATAACTTAGTAGAATACTATTTTAAATCTACAAAATATGACGCAAAGACTTCTAATTTTGGCATCCCAGAGTTAAACTTCTCTTCCGTTGCTAAAACTACATAAAAAAAGATAACTTGGTCAAAGATATGAGTCAAGCATTAAAGTGCTGATCGGATTGATAAAAATAATTAAACTGAAAAAAATAGTTCACCGTCGCTTCTGCTCGAAAAAAAATGGATACTCTATATTGTGGATATAAACACGACATTAAACTTTCAGAGGTACAGCGCGTACTTTATTAAACCGTAGGCATACTTGAATTTCTACCTAGGGCTAACACTTGCCCAAAATTTCCCAAAATAATAAGCAAACACGACTCACAATCTTCCTGATTATTTATTGCGTACAAGCCAAAAGCTTTCGTAATTTAGATTAGCGATTAATATCTACAAATGTTTCTCAGCAAAATTAATGAGATGTTAAAGACACTTAGACACTTTTACTTCTACAGTTTCTTCCAATAACCAGGATAAATTTACAAATTTCCTGTTATGCGACTAGTGAATGCTATCTGGATTTTACCGAAGGCATTTGATTAAAGTTTTAATGGAGCTGGGAATCCATTTATTCTTATTTTCTGTTATGTTCGGCTCCTATGTACTGACCCATGAGGTTGGATGACCACAAGAGGCAGGAAAGGGATTAAAAACTATAAACCTCGCCACCTCGCTACGACGAGACGAAACAGCTTAATGCTAAGGTTTTTCCTTTGAACTATTTATTCATAATTGTCTGATTGTTGCTCTGTAACACATCATGTGACTGATTTTTTATCATTTCCTTATATAGAATAGCGCTGGGAACAAGATTATAGCACCTCGATGTAATTATCAGTTGTTCCTTAGGAGGGATTGAGGCGGACAGGAATTAATAGATATCAATTTTGTTACAACAAGCTTGTCACGAAACCCGTCCACTTGAAGTTTTCCGACTATAATTGATTACGCGAATTCCGTTAACCGCCCATTGAAAAAGACTAAGCTAAGGAGAGTCAACTCCTTGTTAATGGCTGGCCGTCGTTGTAGCTGAAAAGACAGTCCCAATGGCTAAGCTTACATCAGTTCGATGTATTTACCGCCAGGGTCATGACTTCCTTTCTTGGATTTCCAAGCCGTTGTCTTGATCCGTCAGTCTTCTTACTGGTGGAGTTGAACCCATAACAGTGTTATTTTTTTGAAACTGGGTTATGAGTGGATAGATATACCCGTGCTATTAGTTGATCAAAAAGGTGTGCAAGCTGGTGAGCTGTTGGGGTCTATACGTAGGTGAGTCAAGACTGTAGTAGATGAGAGGTTAGATTGGTTGATTGATGATATCTAGATGCAGTGTTATTGCTCTGTTATATACATGTCTTCCTCGCTTGTCCTCATTCTACACGATTATACTAATTCTTCTATAACTCCGACAGAGACTCCTTGACCCATCTGTGTCGCTCATCGATCGTATACCACTATGTCCTAGACGTATATTCATGACACAGAACCCCGAATCGTCATAGTTTACCCCAGCCTGATATGATCCTTTGTAAACTGAGTCATAAAATTAGCCGTTCTATATCATATATTATCATTTCTGTTCGCAGAAGCTTCTTAGTCGAGTCAAGTCTTACTACTTTACGGATTGCAGTCGCTAGCGCTTCCCTCATTATGTTGCAATTATCTCTTAGCTTAGAGGTGGCGAGCTGGGCCAGGCCATGATTAACCAAAAACGATCCTTCTTTTAGTAGTATGTGTATGTTTGATTTGTGATCTAACGCTGTTCAATCTGCGGACTTTGTGGTAAGCAGTTATTAAATATCACGTGATGGAACACGGGAGCGAAGTAAAAGAGGGGACAGCCCACTAGCCAATTCTAAGTGATTACGGGTACACGTAGAACTGTAACACATTCTCTGTAGATAGACATAACAAGCAATTATCTTCAATAATTAAATCAACCTCCACACAATTGAGACCCATAGAAGTGCCAACCTTTCATACAACCCTCAATTGTATTGTCACAATCGCATCTGTAACGAGCCACCACTGCATTCCAGAATACACTCTCTAACTGTGATAAGCTACACCACCAGGTCTTGCAAACAAATGACAATAGTTTGTTTATTGTACTACTTGAGTCTATGACTATCTACCACATTGGGCTCCTCTCTGACCCAGGCCACACCTTGTACAGTGCTCCTTGCCTCTCATGTTTCTTGAAAGATCATTGATATTGTCGGTTCACAGGTGAATGGCATAGGGATAAAGGGCTAGTGTTAACTTCCAAAAGTATTGGTCAGCGCATCACGTGATATAATTAGGGCGCTAAGCTTCACTTTGTACCTTAGATATCAATGCTTGAGGAGGGATACAGAAGAGATGGACAGAATACACCACTTGTTTTTAGCACTTTTAAGGCATTAAACCAAGTAAACCCCGTTGTACCAACACTGATCAGTGGTTAATCAATTTCGATTTTATTTTCGTTCGTATTGACTGCAGACAGCAAGGCAACGAAGAGACAGTGGCCCTATTCATAGGCTTTCACTGTGCTAACTGAAGGACTCAATAGTACCGCCTTTGCAGCTATAAGTATATCTTGGATTCATTCAGGAAGACTTTTATAGATAGAAGAACAATTGGCTCCGCGTTCCATCACGCATTTTTGATTATTTTAAGATTGCACTTCTAAATCTAACCGGCAAAATGACGGCGCTATTTATCAAGAAAGATACCTCAGACATCCCAAGTGAAGACTATGATAGCTACAGAGAAGATCAAATTACTTACTTTAAAAAGTTGGATCACCGACATCAAGGGCTTTGGGAGGATTTTTGGGCAGAATTTGCAAAATGACAGACAGAGGACTTCAACAAGATGTCTAAGTATAAAAGAGGAATTTTACGAAGTTACCTACGAGATAATGGAGTATATATAAATAGAAGTACCTCTGTAGCTGAAGGGTTGTGTAACGGCTAAGAAGCCGGTATTTTCCTGTAGCCAGTAATGGCAAGTACTGGCGTATAACCACCAGGGGGTGGGCCGGCGCAATAGCCTGCAGAACATACCAGAACCACTGTCGAAGGTACTAGATAAGATTCGACATGAACAAGACTGTAACTGAGACTTGGAGAAGCTACTAGAAACCATATTCTCAGAGTTGCAACTGGAATTATCTAGAAATGAACTGACCTTAGATGGAAGGGCTTGGAGTGTAGTAATCTGTATAAATACCTGGCTAAGTATCTGTAGCTTAGTTCTACATAGTTGAATTGTCAATATACCATCATCCATACAAATGCTCCCTGCTTTCTATAGTTGATCTGTGACAGGTTGACAAAGTTGTTGGATGAAAGGGAACCTACAAAATGGCCACCGGAAGAGCTAGCCAAGATGATTACTTCAGGAAAATTTAACTCGCGAAGGAATCCAGATCTCCCAGGAAGTTATGCATACTTAAGAAAGGATGAAGAAAGAAAGATGGCATGGCCTTCAATTAAGATGGACCTACAATCCCCAGACGGGATGCCATTACCTCAACCATTTCTTATGTAGCAGAGTCCGAATATAAAATTTCCTGCATCTAGAATTTCCTGCATCTAGAATAAGCAATGACGTACGAAATAACCTCAACCCAGCTCCCTTTATTCCAGAAAGTCAACAGCAGCCATCATATACACAAAAGGTTAATGTACAAAGTGGTTCGCTCCAAGGTTCATTTTTTAACATTAAAAATTTGCAAAAGTCTTATCTAAAGGAGGACATGTATAGTGGCGCGGATGATGTCCTTGATAAGAAGCTGCGAATTTTCTACGCCATGTGCCACAACGCAAATGTAGACCCTTCAGACTACCCCAAAGCATTTCCGATTATTCTCACAGGTGAGGCTAGGGATTATTTTTTCAACAAATTATCAAGTAACCAATATAGTTGTCACGGGTCCTGGTCCCGCTAAGATACCCCCTGTAAAATAGCTTTCAATTACACACTCTCCTGCGCATCATAGAGCGACTCTTGTATTTTCATTACTTTAGAGATTCAGAATAGACTTTGATTTCTTCGTTCGATTGTACAAATCACGACCTCATTTCGTGACAATAGTTTTTCGGAGATGATTCAAGACTTGAAAAGTTATTTTGAGACAGAGTAACGTTAAGAACGGAAGACAATTGAATGGGAAGACACAACCCTGAAAGATTATACGTTGAGAAACCCGCGTATGACAATCTTACAGTGTTTCGATCTCACGAGAGATCAACTTCTCAGAGATCAGGCAATCTTGCGGCCAGAATTTCAGACTGATATAATGATTCGAGATAGGCTCTATAGGGCCTGTCGTAATGTGTCCGAGTATAACATAGCACTTTTTCGGAGATGTCCTACTTTTCAAGGAGCCTCTGAAGAGATTAGAAACGCTCTTGACATACACACTCAAAATAGAACCCAGCAGAATTTCGTCTCAAAAGGTATAGAAATTTTTGACAGCTGTAATGCATTCTACGTCGATTGCAAGTACAAAGGTAAGAGTACTAGAAACGAAAGTTTATCGAAAAGCTCAGGAAAACCTGCAACAAAGAAATGCTCTGTCTGCAAGAAGGCTGGTTGTTGAAGTACAAATCACAGCAATGAAGAGCAGAAGATTGTTACGACTGACCTGAGGATGATATGGGTCTCTAAGAAGAAGTTGTATTTGGACATTAGGCTACAATACGTAGGTAGGAGAAAAGACAAAGAGAAAGAAAGTGCTGGGAGCTACAAGCTTGAGGTAAGCTCAACCGCGGCTCCACCTTAGTCTATCCTACATCCCCGTCATATATTGTCACGTGATTCTAGATTCTTCCACCAGTCTACCTCCAAGTGCCCTAGCAAGTCCAACCATAACAAAGATCTCATTCCAAAGGTTCAAAGCTGCCCCATGGAATGACAGGAAGATTCAACAGTTCATCAACAAATATGGAGGTTTGGATCCCAATAATTCAGCAGATTATGAACAATTCATTGATGAATTCGAACTTAAAGATAATGAGGATCTTGATTTGTCTGCCAGCCATATGTCTAGGACATATACTACAGAGTATTTTGGTGATATCAACAGCAAACAACTGATTGAAGACCTTGAACAACAATTGATGATCCATGCATTTTGTGCTAGTTATAAGGTAACACCTGAAACGGAGATCACACCATTGGCTAAAACAATTGACATATTTTTTTCTAGTCAATATTCAACAGGTGTTGTAATATTAATGAGGAATCCTCAAAGCCGAAGTAGGTTTGTGGTCACCTGGCAGGTATGGGAGTTTGTTTTGTGAGTAGGCAGTAGTCACATGACTTAGTGCGGTTCGCCGTGTCGCCCATATGGAAGACACGCCCGCAAGTAAATAGAACAAGAACCAACACATCAGAGAGAACCCCATTGCTTACGCGTACACGTGTATATAATCAACCGACACTGATCAGTAGTCCATAGGTGTGACTACAGAACAGCTAAGTTGAAGAGACAGATCTCTCTACTCCGCGTTCCCTGATTAACTTCTGAACAATCAGCAGGAGAGAAAAGTGCTAAGAATACATTGTTAGTTTTCAAGATTGTTACTGCATTGACACCTTTGTAAGGACGCGCAATACAGCCATACTATCCAGCAAACTACAAGAAGATCGAAAGCTACAGCTTATAGACCTACCCTGACCGACAACTCTGCTGTTGTGCGTGTTAGTTCCTCTACTGTTGCCAAGATAAGCGTCATTCACGCTTCAATTTCAAAATCCACACAGCAACTGCTGTCCAGAAGGAAACCTGATTGAAATGTCCGGAACAAATACTTCAGAGGCAGAAGCCGAAAACCGCATCAAGGATTACAAGATCGCGCAGCTCGCCCTAAGATTAGAAGGTACAAGCATATCCTCTCGTCATTTCGACTCTCTAGATCCAGATCTATGGGGCGAACCTGTCGATAAATTGTCATCCGCAGTAGCGCTCACCACCTATGCTGTCAACCTTCTCACAGATTGGGAAGAATACAAAGAACATGGCGAAGATCTCTTCCTGCTTTTTAAGGAAGAGTTTGCAGACTGGACATCAGATATGTTCGGTAAAATCAAAAGTCTATTTAAGAAAAGATTCCGAGATTATCTCCACAACAACGGTGTCTATACCGGCAAGAAGACAATACCAATCGGTATTGCAATGATAACTCTTCTGAACTGCGAAGAACTTCCAGAGTGGCCTCAAATAAAGGAGATAGACCTACCAGACCAAGGTCAACAGTTTCAACAGCCAAAGGTTGCACCAAAGCAAACTGCCTATCAGTCAGTAGAAGGCCAGGCTCTCAATTCAATGTTGCCAACTCTAAAACAACAATCAAAACCTCCCTTCCGACCCATTTGTTCACAGTCTCCTTACCCTTGGGAGAATGATCAACCACGACCAGCACCAGGTACTTTATACCCTCAGAGACCAGCTGTCAGAGCTGTAGTAGATTACAAAACCTTTGATGATTATAATGACCTCCCACCACGCGACGTTCAAAATGAAAGAGTCGATGCCAACACACAAACATCTTTCATCAAGCTATGGAATCGTAACCAAAATTACACTGGAGAAGCGTATGATTTGCTGGACGACAAAGTTTGATACTTCTTACGAATTTGTTACAATCTTAGTATCCCAGTCCAGTATTTCCATGGTTTTTTTTCACATATTCTGGATGGTGAGGCTC